CATTGCAAGTTTAATACTATTTGAGGTAGGTTACCCATTTCAAAATGAGTTACCTATATATATATAATATGTGTCTAGGTCTAATAAAAATTAACAAAAATGAACAATTTGTTTACTGATTATGTTCAGCATGAGGTATGCATGTTCTAGAAGGAAAAAAAACAGACAAACAAGAAAAATCACAACCGAGAGCACTGAAGTTTAAACCAAAAGGCTGTCTAGATCAAATAATTAATCTTATAGTTATTTACAAGTATCCATTTAGTAATTTCGGATTTGGCTGTGGAGTAGTTTTGCATTTTAAATTTACCTGGTAGGTCATTAAATATTTTAGGCCCTACACAATATATGTGATTCTGACAACGTGCATGTTTAGGGTTCTGTAATTCCACATTTCCATGACCCGCACCTCTAGTATTCACTCCATGTACTAAATCTACTCTAAAGTAATTGTTTTTCAGCATAAATCTAATTACTGATTTTATGTATAGCTGTTCAAGATTGAGAACACCGCTGTCATTGAATACCAAATTTGTGGGATACCTCCTTTTTTTAAAAAGAATAATTTTTAAAATCCATTTTTGTGCAACATGCAATTTTGATAGAATTGAAACGCCAGCATTTCCCCAAACCACTATCCCGTAATTCAAAATTGATTCAACAAGAGAGTAATAAATCATTTTAAGTGTTGTAAAGTCAAGGATGTTCCTTAATTCATAAAATTTGTAGATTAGCTTTCTTATTTTCTTGGTAACATAATGTACATGTTCCTTCCAATTTAAATTTTCATCCAGAATCACCCCTAAGTAGAATAATGAAGGTGTTCTAACAATAAATTTGTTACAGCTGCATTGCAGTTCAAAAACGCACTGCGTTTCATGCATTTTAAGTTGTTGGAAATCAGGGAATGTATGCGTAGAAAGAGAGAAGGTCAGAAATTTAGTTTTTTCTATGTTTAATGATAGAAGACTATCATCCAACCATCCCTTTATCCTTTGCAGTGCTGACTCTGCTCTTTTTTTTACAATTTCCCAGCTAGCTCCATTTAGGACAATAGCAGTGTCATCAGCAAAGCAAAAGACAATATCCTCCCCGAACAATTCCATTATTCCATTTACATAAATATTAAAAAGAAGAGGTGAGAGAACAGTTCCCTGCGGCACACCAGACTCCATTCGAAGTTTATCACTCTGCTGATCTCCAATCTTTGTGCTTTGTGTTCTACCACTCAAGTAGGATTTAATCAGCTCATTTGGAATACCTCGAATTCCCATAGTGTCTAATCAATTTAGGAGAATTTGGTGTGAAACAGTGTCAAAAGCCTTTTTTAGGTCTAAGAAGATTGCTATTACTTTATTACCCTGATCTAAGTTTTTCAAAATTCCCTCTGAAACCCTCACAAGTGCGTTTTCAGTACTTAGGTTCTCTGTAAAGGCAAATTGGTTTTTATGAAGTAAATTGTATTGCTCTAAAAATGTCAATAGATTTTTCCTAAAACACATTTCAACAATCTTGCTAATGCTGCTAGTCAATGCTATTGGTCTGTAATTCGATAGTGATTTATTATATATTGTGTATTCGCCAAGTACACGAGTCGTCTGAGCCCGGCTTAAAGATGTCCTGAGTCAAAGGGATCACGATTATTCGTACACTTGCCAAGTTCATACTTGTCTATACTTGTAGAGGCACTCAAACGAAATGCACAAATAATTGACTTTTACGACTATTTCATTTAGTTTTCGTCTAGCTTCAAGATTTAGCCAAATGTTTGCGCTCGCGTAATTGTAAATTGTACACGTCGTGTGAGCGCCCTGCTCGCCATCCCAATTCGTAAAGCTTGTATACTTGCCAACTACGCGAATAATTGTGTATTTGCCAAGTACACGAGTCGTCTGAGCCCGGCTGAAAACCAACGAGTGACAAATAATTGTACAAGTAACCCACTGACACGACATGGCAAGTATACGCAAGTAACGATTATTTAGCAAGTACACGTGTCGTTTGAGCCCGGCTTAATAAATATTTTGATTGATTGATTGATTGACTATCTGCAAGATAAATTTACTGATCTATAATTCTATTGGTCCGCGGATTGCAGATTACTGACCAATCAATGAGATTACAGATTGCGTTTGTCTCCGTCAGATTGCATACTTTACAGGTTTATCAGAAGGTGAATAAACCGGCCCACAGTTTATTTAGCTGTAGCCTGTTTGCCGCTCGGTTCGCCAATTGTAGGTAAAGTCTGTTTTTTTTTAAAGATAATTCCCCAAGTCAAAAATTTAGTAAGTATGTTGGCAACACAAGCCTTTTCTACACAAAAAATTTGAAAGCATTGACAATTTTGCATTGTTTTGCCAACATAATGTAATTTTTCCCTGTTTCTCTTTACAACATTTATAAATTCATCATTTGCTAATAATGCAGAAACTCATGCAATATATACTGACTTCAGTAAAGCCTTTGATAAGGTAAATCACAACATCCTTCTTTCAAAGCTTTCAAGTTTCGGCGTTTCTGGACATTTACTTGCATGGATGAAATCATATCTTACTAACAGAATGCAACAAGTCAAGATCGATGGCTATCTTTCTTCTCTTTTCCATGCATCCTCTGGGGTACCCCAAGGTTCTCACTTGGGCCCCCTTCTATTCAGCTTGTTTATCAATGATTTAGGATCGTTGCTCTCCTCAGATTTTTTACTTTTTGCTGATGACTTGAAGTTGTATCGTGAGGTGACATCAGCTCAAGACATACTTATTTTGCAAAATGATCTTAACATCGTTCACGATTGGTGTCAGCTTAATTACATTCAAATTCAAATTCAAATTTATTTCAAAAAATATTTGGGATACAATATGGCAGATTACATGTAGCATATATGCGCACTATGGATACAATCTGTGTGTGCACACTTAATGTATAATTTACTAGGTTCTATCACACTATACGGAAACACTAAAACTTACAAGTTGGATATATTTTCTTCATAAAACCGTTTAATTCTTCTTTAAAATGTTTAATTAGATGCGGAAAACATAAATATTCTTATGAATAAATAAATTTACTGAAATTCTTACAGATGCATCAGCTGTTCTGTTTGATTTGTTTTGAATTGAAAAGTAAATACGTAAATACAGGTGCCTAAAAGCGTTTTCGAGCGACATCCCGACATAGGTGGGCATTCCGTTACATGGCGCTAGTGGCTTTATGTCCGTCATTTAACCGTTAATTCGATATTTTGAATTTGAATTTTCATATAACATTTATCCCTTTTCGTTCATGTTCATATTAGCATGGAAATTGAAAATATCTATCAATTGTTTGCCATTATCCATATAAAAATGATAAAGAACTTATAAGTTATTTGCAGCAGGTGAATCTTCTAAAAGATTCTTTTCGGTGTAAAATTCGGAACTGCCGAAAGAAGTGTGATTTGTTATATAAAAATGGTGCGTCGTCACTCAATTATGTGTTTTTTTGCAAAAAATGCAGAAAAACATATTCCGTATTAACGGGAAGTTATTTTGAAAAAATGAACGTTCCAGTCCGTGACGTTTTATTTATTATGTGGAATTGGGCCTGTGAATGCAGAGTTTTGTCAGCATCAGCTTTATTGGGAAAATCCAGGAACGCTATAGTACAGCAATATACATACCTATACGTGATATTTTGTCATGGAAATTACTCCAAGCCAAGAAGATGATTTATTTTTATTAGGTAAGAAATTTTTTTTCTAAAATATCAACATACAAAGATGATTTATTTCGAGGACAGGTTAGTTTGGGTTAAGTATTTGAGATTTTTTCATTTCTTATAAGATAGGTACATACTAACATACGAAGACTAGCACTTAATACGAAGATTATTGATTTTATGTTTTTTTTTTAAGATGAAAAAGTTCTAAAATTAAATCATCTTTTTTTTACGGGTCCCAGAAAAAAATTATTAGGTACTTTACTATTGATTCATTTTTTATTTATGTGTCATTATCAAAAAAGAGAGCGATAGTGATATTAAACTGATAAGAATTGATATTATTCATTGATCTGTGTCAAAGGTTGAGAAGAGGATCATCTGTTATAATTTTTATTCTTTTTAGGAGGAGAGAATCATTTGGTACAGATTGATGAATCGGTAATTTCTAAAAGAAAATATAACAGAGGTCGTTTGGTGAAAAAGTCGTGGATATTAGGAATTTATGATGCGACTGAAAAAAGGGGATATATTCAATATGTCAAAAATCGATCCGCTGCGATTCTTCTACCGATTATAAGAAAACATGTAAGGGTCGGTAGTGAAATATGGACAGACAATTGGCGCGCTTACTCTAGATTAGTAGACTATGGTTATGTCCACCGAACAGTAAACCATAGCAAATATTTCAAAGATCCTATTACAGGGGTCTGTACCAACCAGGTGGAAGGGTATTGGTCTGGCTTGAAAAAATATCTTAGAGCTATGGGTGTTATGCATTCAAAATATTTGCCACAATATATTGACCAATATATGTGGAAACAGATATATGGCAAAAATGCCATTCAACGAATGTATAACTTGACATCGCAAATTGGACAAAAATATTAAATGGTTTTTTGTAAGATTAGTTAGTTGATTAATTACATTTTGTTCCCTAAAGAAGTTTGCTTTGTTTAGTATAGATACAAATGGTTAATGGAACTTATTATTGGTTAGAAATATAAATAAATTCTAAGTGAAACTATGACTATGTTTTTTTTTTGTTCATTGTTATTTAAGCTCAGGAAATATCACACAATGTGGCAACGTTGATATCACCTTGCATTTTTATTACGTAAATGGCCGCTTGCTTGTATATTTGATTTATGAAATGGTTAATTTCCGTCAGTTTGAACTGAATTTTCTTGCAGAAAAATGAAAAAACCCGCATTTTTTTTTTCATAAAACTATTATTTGAGTTGTCTATTTTACTGTAAAAGCTTCAAAAATGGCAAATTCGTGTTTCCGGATAGTGTGATGGACCCATTTACTAAGCTTAAGTTATTCTAACTAATATATTCGGATATCTATATTAATGTTACATTTTTTAAGACTTATGTTGGATATTGGGTGGCAATCGAAAAATAAAAAATAAACAGAAAGAAATAAACTATTTAGAAAACCAATTTATATTATTTGTAGTCAACCAAGTATTAATTTTGCCTTTTATTTTATTATAGCTTTTATTTCTTATGTCTTTAGGTAACATATATTATTATATATGTCCCTCAACATCGATAAGTGCTGTTCTATAAGATTCAGTAGACGCACCCATAGTGTTCCCTTGCAGTATTACTTAAACAATGTTCGCTTGTCTGAAGTTTCTATCATTAAAGATCTTGGTGTCTATCTAGATACTAGGCTAATGTTCACTGAGCATTTTGAAGTGGTAATTGGCAGGGCTAATAAAATGATGTTGGGTTTTATTAAGAGAGCTACAAGGGATTTTACAAGTATATACGCCTTAGACTATATACCTACATTCTGTAGAGACAGGACAAGGTGCCTGTTTGTTTTGCTCCAACATTGATGCACATTATAAACACCACATTGCTCGGCGTAGTAAATTATTGTTGGAAAACATTTGGTCGCGATCACACTAAACGTCCCCAAATCTTCTACTTACCACCAATAACTGAGTGTCCTTTTCCAACTTCTTATACAAGACAAGGATAAGCAACCACACGGCTACCTAAGAACGCACCCCTCGACTCTACTCTAGTCGAGTCTTGAGATCTTCTTTAGTGCGTTGTTGACATTTGTGGTGGTCAAAACGGATTTATTTTTATTTTCTAGCGAATATTTTGTGATTTTTTCGTTCGTTTCGTGAGTTTTTTTAATAAACAATGGTATTAGCCCGTTACAAGTGCCTTGTGTGCAAAATTTCTAGCAGTCATAATCCTCAGCTCAGCTGAGTTTTCACGGGTAAGTAAACAAAAAACAGTGGCGGGTGACAAACAACGCGCATTTTGTATTTTTTTGATTTCTATTCTCAAGTCTAGGGTATAGTTTTTAATTTAAGTATTTTTGTTTAGTTTATTTCAAATTATGGTCCTGAAGATTAGCGCTTTTATCCTATCGCTCACAACGTCCTTAGTTGTGTAGGATTTTTTAGTTGAAGGTAACATTTTTTTGTTCAAAGGGTTAAAGAGTTGTTTAATTAATAATTAATTAGTCAATTAATAGTTTTAAACAAACAAAGTGTATTAGTAAAATCGAATTTGTTAACAACGGAAATTATTATCTTTCAAAATATTATTAAATCTACTTAATTTTGTATTTAATTTTCATAATATAAATAAAAATATAACTTTTAGTATTCCAACTAATCTGGATGAACAGTGAAAATGGTTCTTCCTATTAGGGTTAGCTGATAGCCTTGATAACCACCCATCTATAAAAAATCCTAGAATCTGTGCCAACCATTTTGAAACCTCATTTTTGTGGCCACTATTGAGAAGTTTCACTGTAATAAATAATTATTCAAATAACTATTTTTTGGATATTTAATTGTCTTGATTTATATTTCATAGATCAGCTGCAACCGAGGCTGCAAGAACCAGAGGAATCAGCTTTAGATAACTCTAATGAGGCTTGTCGTGAGATGAGTCTAAGGTGAGATGATAAACTAGTTATACAATAGTCGAAACAATATTCAATTGACTTTTTTACTAAGTAGTGACTTTTGATTTAAACCGTTTACTTTATGGTCGTAACATTACTATATTGTTTTAATTTTGTTATAGACCAGTTGTGGTGACTGAACCAAATCTAAATGAACCAGCTTTGGATGACTCTTGTGTGACTGGTCCTGATGGTTTGTCAATAATGGAGCAAGAAACTTTTCAAACTGAAACATGCAACAAAGAAGCACTTTTCTCAGAAACCGACACCTTAAGTTTGGTGGGAAGGTATGGGCTTTTCAAAATATAATATCACAATGTTAATTTTCACGTATAATTTCATTATAGAGCATCAATTTAACTGCGTCATGATTGCAAAAAAAATTGTTTATATCTTAATATACACGAGAATATACCATATTTTAGATACATTATACATAATCAGAGGAAAAAATTAGCATATATTTTTTTTTAGCTCAAAACACTCATCATATACTGCAACAGCTTCTTCAACAGAGAGGGAAATATTTCACTTCCAAGAGAGGCTGTAGGTTTAAAATCCAAATTTAGAGGTACTTTAGGATTAATCGAAAAACCTGTGCAGAGGTAAAAAATTCAAGATACAAACTTTTTCATATGAGAATGTAATGAATACTCCTTTGATTTTAGGAAAAGAAGGTACATTGGCGACCTAACTGGTGAAGATTTTGGTACACCTAGAAAAAGGCAACGAAATCCGCAACTAGTCAAGGAAGTGGTTTATAAGCAACGAAGTAAAATTAACAGTTTGCAAGCTACTGTTAGACGTTTGAGAAATAAAATCACCAATTTAAACAGCCTTATACAGCATCTTAGAACCAATAGGTGCCTACATAAGTATTGCATTCAGCTTAAAATGTTTTATTTCTATTAATCTACACATCTATATATTATATTTGAACAATATATTGATATTTCTTGTATTAAAAACTTTCTTTTATTTACTTTTGCCTCTTATCGCCTTGTGCCCAAATTGAATAGTAATAATTCATTTGAAAAAAATGATCTGACAGAATTTGAGAGATATCTTTGCATTTTTGTAGTACAATAATACCTAAGGTGACTTTTTATCCCAAAGCAAAGCGAAGGCTACAATTTGCTGACGGATGAGAAATCACTTTACTCATGTATGTATATGTATACTACATTTTGCACTTATTGTATCTGTTTTTATTAATTTTTTGAAGTTTTTGAATACAAATATAGTCATTTTTATTTACAATTAGAACTTGGTTAGAAAAAAAATCAATGGTCATTTTAAATTAGGTTTTCAGTATTTTTCTTAAAATTTATAATTTTCAACACTAAATTTCACCTCTCCTTTAATTTTATTTTAGTCCCTGAAATTTCATTTTACTCCCCCAAATTTATTTTAGTCCCTGCGAGAAATGGAAAGTCTAATTTCTACCTACCAATTGACACTCAAAGTTTTTTTAAATGTTAAATTTTCAACTGTCAAACGGTGAGATGTATAGGTATGTATATAACTCTACACAAATTATTTTTAGAATTTTTTGTAGAATCCAAGATTTCAATATAACCCATGACATGTCAGAATTTTACGAAAATGTTTGTACCTATTTCATGCAAATATTTTTATTAAAATTAATGCAATGGTCTAAGGCAAAAAGTGCTTCACACTGGTTTTATTAAAAAATATTTACTTGGAATACAAAAAATTTCATTATTTGCCTATTAAAATTATTTGTTACTATCCCATAACTCCAAAGCTAACTACGCCTATGGTCGGCGGCTGGTGCCAACAATGTGAAACAACGCCAAACAAGCCGGCTGCAGCCTTCTCCCACCACAACGAAACATTGGCTGCACTCATTGATAATTTATTCTAAGCACATTCTAAGCGTTTGTTGATGTAAAGTCGCACTATTTGGTGATTTATGAATGACTTGTCCTGTCTCTACAGAATGTAGGTATATAGTCTAAGATATACGCCCTATCAAAATTCTTTACACATCACTGGTCAGGTCAGTTCTTGAATTTTCATGCATAGTTTGGTCACCTTACTATCAGATCCACATCAATAGGTTTGAGAGTGTTCAACACAAATTTATCAAGTTTGCAAGGTACAAACTTTCTTTAAGTGGTGTGATTCTCAGTGATGACCTGACTATGACTTATTTAGACTTATCTACTCTTGTTCGCAGAAGGGAATATTTTGATGTCTGTTTTGCATTTAAAATCCTTAACTACTACATAAAAAGCCACGAATGTCTTGAATGTTTTAATCTACACATTCAAAGTTATCAGACACGAAGTAAATCTTTACTGCACATTCCTTACTGTCGAACCTGGTACTTACTATTCAGTCCTGTGAATAGAATATCTGCCAATGTAAATAAGTTCTGTGAGGGCCTTGAGTTCTTTGGTTTATCTCTGGATAAATTTAAGACGAAGGCCAGGAGAATTGTTTTAGGTTAGATTTTTTTTTAGTTTTAAACTCTGTTCAACTTCAAATGTATTTTTCTTATATGTAAATAAATAAATAAATAAATAAATTTTGACTTTTATCATCTTTAAAAAAAACAGACTTTAGTTTTTTTTTTTCTCCATTTCCTCAGGTCACTCACCTTGAAATATTAAATAAATAAATAATATTGAGACCACTTTATGAAATATTCACTCATTCAATTCTCTAGGCTACCAAAAATTGCACCAATATTCCAATGAGCTTTTTACAATATTTTTTTTCAACAAGCATCAAGTTAAAAGTAGTCTATGACCTATATATCCACTAGGCATAAAATCAATTTTTTTTAATCTAGCTAGCCAATTTCTTCAAGTAATTTAAATCTACAATCCACCCAAAATATCTTGGTATTTTTAAATTAAAATTTAAAGATAATCTTCACCCTCGACTGGTTGCTGTAAACGTCGTCCTCGTCCCTGGGCCAGGCCTACTAGCAGAAGAAGGCAAAGTTGGGAAAATGAACAGCTGTTTTTTAATTCAACACCGGTTAATAGGGGCACGATAATTATTGGCTCGATAAACTTCAAAGGAAGTGGCGAAGAGAATAACGATTTTTTTGTAAATTTAAGTATTGAAAAGCTCCAGTTTTTAAGCCAGGAAAATTTTATTTCGAAATAATCCCTGGTCTGCGCCATGGGCGACACGCAGTTAAAAAAGAACCCCGATAGGCGTGTTAATATCGAAAATATGCCAAATAATCACTGCTACTTACTCGCTTTAATAATCCACCAATTTAATAGCACAAACCACAACCGGTCCTACTTTGCACTTTTATCAAAAATCATACATAACAGCTAAATTTTTCCTACTATGTAAAGTACACTTAAAAGCTACATTGCACTTTTTAGGCCTACAAATAGGGCACCTACGGCAAGAAAACGCTACGCGTACCCGCGAATTTAATTCCAAAAAAACTGCGATTTCCCGAAGAGCTATGGAAAATTAATGGCAAAACATTATTTCCAGACCTTCGCCGATCATCAGACTTCTTCACTGTGATCAGCCATGTTGGAATTTATTTTTCGTTTTCCAACAATGCATTGCGTCGAATCAGTGCTACCAACCTGAGCCATATAAATCAAAACTCCCTAGATTTTCAACAACAAAAATAATGAAGAAAACTTTAAAATATTTGTCCAATTTTTATAATAATTTCAATGTCAAATGTGTGGAGTATTCCTATTCAATTCAAATAGCAATAAACTTTTAAACTTGGATGAGTTGACGAAAGAAGATGCCTGTAATTAAAAAAAATTAGTAACTGAAACGAGCGACATCTTTGGACAATTCTCTGAATACTTTACTTTGTGGCGCCATCTTACCTTGCGTTCGGTTTTTTGCTCAAAGAGCAGAGCGTGCTGAGCGGAGCCGTAATCACGTGACTAGCGAGTGAACGGAGCAGTTGAACGCTGTATTAGCTTAAAGTGCCAGAAATTTTAATAAACGAACGCGAATGAGCGTGCACCGAGTACACTTTCGAAATAAACGAACGGTAAATTCAAGCTCGGAGAACTCAGATCAAAATACCGAACGCACGGTATCTGTAGTAAATTATTCGATATTAGTTACCTCTCGTTTTTATTCTCATCGGTGACTTCACCGATGAGTTAGCTACTTTCCGTGCGTTCGTTATTTTGGTCTGAGTTCTCCGAGCTTGACTTTACCGTTCGTTTATTTAAAAAGTGTACTCGGTGCAGCCTCATTCGCGTTCGTTTATTAAAATTTCCGGTACTTTTATACAGCGTTCAACTGCTCCCTTCGCTCGCTGGTCACGTGATTACGGCTCCGCTCAGCTCGCTCTACACTTTGAGCAAAATACCGAACGCAAGGTTTGAATATAAAACTACAGGAAGGATCATAACTTCGAATCTGCGCGACCAAAATATGTGGAGGTTGCATATGGCCGACTAGTATTTCCGGTTTGGCAGTAGCGTATATTTATTTAAATATGATTGTTAATATTATGACTCACTCTTTTCTCACTAATTCCAGTACTTATCATCACTTAAAACCGCTAAAATCCATTAAACATCCACTTAAATGAGGACACAGGGAACCACCAAAACAAATGATGAGTCCAAACTTGGAGGCTCAAAATGGCGGCTTCCGTCGCTTTTTTGTTTGCAGTGACAGATAGACTACGCTCCTTCCTGTAGTTTTATATTCAAAGGTTAGCTATCTTTGTTTAGTGAATGGAAAATGAAAATGACCAACATAGAATGGTGGATCCATCGGTAAAATTTGATGAGAATAAAAACGCAGGGTTGTACTCCTTTCACATCCTTGACCCGAACGCAAATAATCTTGCTCCGTTTACTCCGTAAACCACACCGTAAAAATACTATTTAGAACGCACTGTAACCAGAACCAGAACTAATGGAGTATGAAAAGGAACAGTCCCCGAAGCTGATTTTTGACAATACATTTTTGACTTTTGACGGTCGATTTTTGGTAAATAAAAAATTAAAATTCTGCTGGCTCATTTTTTGGTGTGCTTGTAATAATTTATAATTATTGCAAAAAATAAGTTAATTATTGCAAATATAAAGTGAGTAGTTGATTTATAATATTATTACGCAGTTTCGTTATACATTCATAATATAATAACATCTGTTGCATTACTTAGTTAGAAACATGGTAAACATTTATATAAATATTGTATTTTTCTTGTATTTTTAATAGTTATTTGCCTAACACATGGAGGAAAGTAATACTTTACCGTACGCAATGTATTAAGGGCGGAAAAGACACTCTTCGCATGTGTTAGGTACAAAATTTTACTTATGAGCATGTACCTAAGTACATCTCCAAAAAAGGCATTATTGAAATTTTTGAATGAAAAGGGGTTTTTGATTAAAAATAGCCAAATCTACTTTACCGCACGCTATGCATAGGTTAATAGTTATAATCTTATAGTACGAGAGACGGCTGCAGAGAATCTGTCGTCATAAGGTGGACGAGCGAAAAAAATATGAATATTAGTTGAGGCACTAATTAAAAGAATACGCGAAGGTTGCCTGCGAAAATCCTGCCGAAACAGTGTTTTTCAAATTTTTTCATTAGATGAATAATAATAACGCTAAAAATACCGCAAAAGAAGCATGGGCAATTGTGAACGAGCTTAAGGGAAAAAACAGCCTTGCCAAGCCACCTGCTGAAATAGAAGTAAACGCTTTTAATCAATTTTATTGTAGAGTTGCAAAAAGACTCTCAGATAATTTGGAACCCCTAGCAAATCCCCTATCTTATCTTAATCACCAAGCGTATATCGGCGAACCATTTCTACTGACTGAAACAAATGCGTATGAAATAAAAGCTATAATAACAGATATTAAAAACAAGAACTCTGCGGGAATCGATGAAATCCCAGTCAAAATATTTCAAAATCTTGATGACAATGTTTTGCATGTGTTGGCTCTAACTATAAACAAATGTTTTTTATTTGGAGAGTTTCCTGATTTTCTAAAAGTGGCTTTGGTAATCCCACTACATAAGGCAGGTTCCCATACTGACCCAGCCAATTTCAGACCGATTTCCCTTTTAAATACGCTGTCTAAGATAATCGAAAAAATTGTTAAGGACAGGATCGTTGATTTTTTAAACCGTCATAATTTTATTAGCGAATGTCAATACGGTTTTCAATCATCTAAAGGCACCAATGATGCCATTTTTTCTTTTCTCGAGAAGCTTTACTTCAAACTGAATGATAAAGAGTTTGCAGCTGCTGTATTTTGCGACTTCTCTAAAGCGTTCGATTGTGTCAGACATGACTTGCTTCTGGACAAAATGTACTTTTATGGCTTTAGAGGAGTATCGTCAAGATTTCTCAATTCTTACCTGACAGGAAGGACACAAATGGTCAAAAATAACAATTCCTTGTCATCGTCTTTACCCATTGATACAGGTGTGCCACAAGGCTCAGTCCTTGGACCTATTTTATTTTTGATTTATGTTAATGACCTGTTCGAGCTACCAGTTAAATGTAAGTTCACTGGCTTTGCTGATGACATCGCACCTCTTTGGTTTCATAGAGACCCGAATGTTTTGAAGGAGTTTATCTCAGACGACTTACACCAAATTAAGAAATGGTGTGATGCAAATTTTTTCTGTTTTAATGTAGAAAAAACAAAAGTTGTTAGCTTTAAATTTTCATTAAATAATTTAGACATGGCAAATCAGGCGATTGGCTCTATTGAAAGCACCAAGTTTCTCGGATTACATATAGATACGAACTTAAAATTTAACCAGCACATCTTGAACTTGAATACCAAGATAGCAATGGGAGGTTTTGCAGTACGACAAACCTTCTGTGGGCTAGGAACATCAATGGCCAAAATCACATATCATGCTCTTGTTGAATCCCACTTGCGATATGGAATTGCCTTTTGGGGTAATTGCAGCCAGTACTTGTGGAATTCGGTTTTCATTTCTCAGAAACGTTGTGTAAGACATGTTTGTGGAGCAGACCCGAGAGAACACTGTAAACCATTGTTTAAAAGAGAAAAAATATTAACTCTTACAAGTCTTTATATACTCGAAACAGTCTGCCTTATCCATAAAAAATATAAAGATTCTACACACATGCATCCCTATTCAACAAGTCATTTCAATAATATTCCAGTACCAACACCTAAATTCACTCTCACACAAAATTCCCTGATATATAAGAGCATTAAGGTTTATAATAAGTTACCTTATGATTTTAAAAACCTTAACAGTTATAAAGCATTTAGAAATAAAGTTAAATACATGTTGTTAGAGAGAGCCTATTATGATCTAGAAGAATATTTTGGCGATGCACTATAATCATAATTTTACATTTTTTATATTTTTTACTACATTTTAACCTGATTTATTGTGTTGTCGTCTTAGGATTAAGATTTTTAATTTTTTGTTTTTAGCATTTTTTATCTGTGGTTGTGCTCATTATCAAAGATTATTTTGTCATTATGAATGTTGTTATTGTAATATTTTGTGATTTTAAGTACAATCTAGCTTTAAGTATTGCTTTGTCAATGAAACTCTTTTGTTATTTTCTGACAATAAAGCTTATTTGATTTGATTTGATTTGATTTGAATTACAGTAACTATCTTTTAGAGGTGGACATGAAATGAAATCACCATGTTGTAGGGGAGCGTGAGGCGAATTCAACCATATAAGGCTGCCTGCCCCCACCCTGCCGCAACTCCCTTGCAGCCTGGCTAAAAAGGTCGGTTTTTTATCAATAACTATCGTCATCAGGTGGACGCATAAATTAGGTCTCAAATTAAAGGTCTCGATCTCCTCTTTCCATCAAACTAAGGCTGCCTGCTCAAATCCTGCCGAAAGATGTGGTTGCCTCGTTTTTAAAGTTAACGGTACGTGCGCTGCGCGCTAGGTATTTGCGGAGCGCGAGGTGTTTAGTGGCGAAAAAGTCGTCTACAAAACACCGAAACGAGTTTTTATTTTAGCTCCTTGTCACTTTGCGTTACTTCTAATATTTAAATTATCGATAAGGATCTATAAAACAAAACGTCATGAAAAGCATAGTTTGATATCAAGAGGAATTCAGGTCCATGATGGGGTGGGGGGGTTGAGGGGTAGATGTTGATTGGTTGCTTAAAAAAAAAGCATGAACTTTTTTGACGTCACGATTCTGTAAACAAACCTGTCAATAGGAAACTTGCAAGTAAAAAAAAATTACAAAAGCAGTCCTTCACAATATTTGTATTTGAAATTCTTCTCACGACGATAAGCAATAAAATTTATGCACTTTTTCAACGCTGCATTAGAAAATTGCTGAACAACTCCATTGTCTTTCCTACAGAGAAAACAATTCATCTTAAAACAAGCACGAATTTCACGTTTATTTAAAAAAAAAATAATCGGAAATGAAAGCTCGACGACTTCTACGTCTAGATACTGCACTTGCGGTGGTAGCCGTAGCGGCCAAAGGGTGGAATTCCTAAGCATGGCTTCGCAAAAAGCACGCGCGCGGCGCGTTGTGTTAGATCCTGACGTGTTGTTTTATAGATCCTTATCAATAATTTAAATATGAGAAGTAACACAAAGTGACAAGGAGCAAAAATAAAAACTCGTTTCGGTGTTTTGTAGACGACTTTTTCGCCACTAAACACCTCGCGCTCCGCAAATACCTAGCGCGCGGCGCACGTACCGGCAACTTTAAAAACGAGGCAACCACATCTTTCGGCAGGATTTGAGCAGGCAGCCTTAGTTTGATGGAAAGAGGAGATCGAGACCTTTAATTTGAGACCTAATTTATGCGTCCACCTGATGACGATAGTTATTGATAAAAAACCGACCTTTTTAGCCAGGCTGCAAGGGTGTTGCGGCAGGGTGGGGGCAGGCAGCCTTATATGGTTGAATTCGCCTCACGCTCTCCTACAACATAGTGATTTCATTTCATGTCTACCTCTAAAAGATAGTTACTGTAATTATTTATCTAATAAAAAAAATTGAACCAACCTTCGCGTATTCTCTTAATTAGTGTCTCAACTAATATTCATATTATTTTCGTTCGTCCACCTTATGACGACAGATTCTCTGCAGCTGTCTCTGGGACTATTAAACAATATTGTATGCTCGATTGTATGTATATAAATATACCAAATTTCAAAGTAGCGTTTTGTTAAGCAAGAAATTGTGCAACTTCGCCCCAATTTAACTGAACCTGTATCTATTACCGTTTTCTGTATCCCAACGGACACCCTGTATACTTATTATATACTAATGTATCAACCAAATTCAAAAGAGTTAAAAATCCTGTCTGACAACAATATAACATGCAACCCTCAATACAATACAACCATCAAGTTAGTTAAGTTAGTAGGTTTTTTTTAAACCTTAGATCTAAATTGGTTAAAGCTATCATTAAAAATATCAATATTATCACATTTTTTTATCACATCAGTTGTCAATTTACACTCTGAGAAATTTACAGTGGCGGCTTGCCGTCGCTCCAAAGATTATTTGACCGAGACATGAGGCTGAGATTTTGTGTGCGGAATTTAAACCGATACTGGTCAGGGTAAATCGATTTGACTAGGTATATAGATTTTTGTATAACAGATAAAAAAAGCAATTTAAAAAATGAGGAGTTTTTCAATTCAATATTTGACAAAGCAAGCATTGAAGCACCTACAATAAATTGGTTTGTTTGAAGGCTTAAAATACAGGTTTTTGGGCGTGGCACCCGAAAAAATTTCTACCTTCCTGTAGTACTAACAACACCTGCGTTGAAGTAGCGCTTCACCATTTTTCAGAGCCACCAGCCGCCACTGGAAATTTATTTTGTACTCTCTCTAGTTTTTCCTTATAGAAAGCATAATATGGTTGCCACACAGTACTTCCATACTCTAAGATGGATCGAGCCACGGAACAGTAAACATTTCCTGTTGCAAAAACACTATTAAAAGTCAAACCCTTAATAGTTCTAAACATAAACCCCATCAGTAACCTCATTGCTTTATTTGTTATTATATCGATTACCCCTCAGATTACCCTATATGTTATCTTTCCAAGTGCAATGAATCCAGTATACAGGGTGACCCAGGGAAAACAGTCCACCCCGATTTAGTCGATTTGAAATGAAAATCTGGAAAAGGAAAAACGCTCTAACACGTCGATTTATATTTGAAGGGGAATTATTTTTCAGTTTTTTCATCCCCGTAGCTTCAACCCCCTAGCTAGGGGGAGAACAACCTTCCAAATTTGAATAGGGAAGAGGGGTCCTGTCATACCTCTTTTTAAAGGTCTCATCGAGTTCTCCATTGCCCTAGAATTTCGTCTCATAATTTTTATCTGTAACAAAATGACAGCTTGTTAAAATCTTGGAAATAAACTATTGCTTTAGTAGGAGTAATAGTGGTGCTTATTTTCTTTAATAAAAATACTTAGAATTTACAATTCAAGTGTACAACTAATTAATAATAATAATAGTGTCACAACTGCCCGCTTTACAGGGGTGACATGGGGGGTTTGTAACTTTGGGGGGTTGATGGAGAGAAACTCGCTCAAGTTATATAAAAGTATAGATATATATTTTCCAAATATGCCCTTACATATACGCTAGTCCTATAAGATGCATGACCTTTCGAACACTGGGGTTCTTATAGGGAGCCACACGTTAACACTGCTTGGGGGACTGTCGATTAGTTATCGTCACCCTTATGCCTTGTCCAGAGAGGCTTTTCCAACGAGAGGCAATTGCACTGGACAACGATAAGGCTGAAGATACCCAGAGGGGCTTTCCCAACGAGAGATAGTTGCACTGGTTTAATTCTGCCTGTTGCTTGGCTTGGCCAATTATTTATATCAATTTATTGCTGAATTGACGTGTCTCCTGGTGTGCGCGCGCAACTCGTGGGTTGCAGGTGAGCATCCAATTAAAATCGAGTTTGTTACGGACTTGCGTCATATTCGTATTCAGGGATGAGTTCAGAATTAATCGTTTCGTATTTCTATGTAACGTGTAATTTGACAAGGAGCAAACTAATACTTTACGTATTACTTGAACTTATCCAAGTGTCGTTTAAGGTTATGTTAAATTATACTTGACATATTTTCATTGTGCGATATTGCCAGATGAAACATTTATTAGAATAAAAGTGCCATGGATGTTAACATACACTTTAAAGCTCTTCTTTTGCCTGATATAAGGCGTTGTAAAACACTTGACACTATATCACTTCTTTAATGTTATAATGTTCGATTTTTATTGTCTACATTTGTTCTGCAACAATACAATCTTTTTCATTCTTCACAATACAATCTGGCTACACTGCAGCCACGAGTTGCGCGCGCATGTCATTTTTTATTACTTTTTAACTTGTATTTATTACAATTAAGTTCTCTTTTTCTATTTCTGTGAGACACGTCAATTGCATTAAACATCCGATTGAATTGGCAATCAAATTAATAAGGTTGAATACTGGGTCCTCCTTTCCTAAGCAGCTAGTTGACAATAAAAAACTTCAATTTCAACTGACACTAACCGTGAGACATATACAAAGACAGATTTGTGGTTTGAGAACACTAAATTCAAATATTTTTCATATCAGTTTGGAATTTTTATGTTTTGATACAGACCAAGATAAGCCATCCAATTTGCACTTACTGTAACTTCATGTGATAAGAAGCCCATTGGACTGGTTCTATTTGCACCATTTACCCATGTTATCTTGGGCAGGTTAAAATCCCCCCCTCCCCCCCCAGAGCCATACATCTGTAAAGTCGTGCTGGTCTATTAATCGAACAATTGAATGGCAGAAAGTTTCATACAGTTCAATGGATGAACATCCATAAATATATGCATTCCCAATCATAATTTTATGAGATCCAATAGACAACCAAAAGATGTTCCACATTATTTATTGGTGTAGTAAGCTATAGACAGCAGAGGGCATTTTTTTATAGTAATCAACACCTTACCCTGTGTAGCACATTGGCTTGTCTGTTCTGACCCATCACAGCGAAAGACACAGTAACCATCAAGCCCTAGCTCACTGGACGATACACTAGGATCCAAAAACGTTTTTGTCAGCAAAATAACATCAAAATTCTCAACCAGAACATTGCACATCAAAGTGTGGATTCTGGATCTAATTCCTCTAACACTTTGATAGTAGAATGCTAAGGATTTCTAGAGGTCCCCTGCACACTTTGAAAATTTGCAGTTTGTTGTCCCTTGTTTGACTCTAGGCCAGGCTTCCTAAACGTGAAAGGTCGGAAGATAACCTTAGTAGGCCAAAAGTTGCTATCATTGAGAGTATCGTAAAAAGTTTCACAAATTCCTTTATTGGAGCACTTTGAGTTTGATTTGGTCAGCAGCTCTTCAACTACTAAGATATTGTTGTTTGACAATTGAGTGTTGTCTTATAAGATCGAAAACGATTTGTTAAGCTATTATCGACCCGCCTCAAAAAGATCCACTTTTCCCCTGGGGCTTCCTTAAATAACTTATTGGTAGAGACTGCAGATCTTATATTTATATTACCTGCATTGTTGTGGGTGCTAGGACTTTTCATTGTTCAATTGTAACATTGTAACACTATCACAACAATTTATGAGAAAGTATCCAAAACATTTGAAAAAGAGATGCGGTGATGCTCTGCAGGAGAATAATGTGGAAATATGTACTGATATATTTTTAAATAGGCTTAAAAATATTGTTATAAAATCAACAATGAGAAAAACAATAACAAGTTATAAAAAAGGTACCAAAGCCCTAGATCACTGGGGCCATCTTGATATCAATTCGTAACAGAAACTGCTTTAAAAGGGAATGTGAATGTGTCCTAAATCCTAATGTTTCCATTAGGTATTTTAAATAAATATCAAGAAACTTAATCACAGAGAAAAATAAATTGCTCAACTGTGCTCTGGTTGAGATCACAGAGGGTACACTTTGAAAACTTAGGCCAGAGGCAAAGTGGTAGGTGTGTTTTTCTTCTTCAGGCGTTTGACAGGGTGGCTAACCAAATTTTGCTAAGACGTTTAGAGAATGTAGAAGTGAGAGGTATACCAAATAACCTTATATGGTCATACCTAACTAAGCAAAATCAAACCACAAATGTCTCGGTACAAAAGAGTAATGCACTAGAAGTTGAATTTGGTGCCACAGTTTTCAAATTTGTTATTAATCAACATTTACATAAATTATATAATTGAATAACTGAAAAATTAAAGTATTACCTATGTGCAGATGGTACAATACAAGCATTACAATAAGCGGAAAGATAAGAAACTACAAAATTGAAAGTAGAAAAACATTACAAAAAATAAAAAACTGATTGGATCTAGTTTACACCCCTTGAATGTTGAGGAAACCAATTTTTTGGTACTCTCACATTCCTCACACAGTCTGAATGATCTGGATTCTGGAATGCATTAAAAATCAAGATTCAGAATGCAATCTAATCATAAAAAGAAAAACTAGATATCATGGAGTTATAGTTGATGAAAAGCTTACTTGCCACAAAAGTTAGAAAACTAATTCGCAAATTCTATGATTTAAGAAAAGTCCTAACACCGAAAACTCTGGAAACAGTTTATTTTGCATTAGCAGAGTCTGTAATAAGCTGAGTTTATGGTGTCCGGACTCTCGGGAAATGCAAGCTCAACAACGTTGAGAGAATTACGGGTATCTTAGAAATGGATAATAAAAATTGTGCTCTTTAAAAATAAAAGATATTCTTCTGACCTTGTTTTCAAAAAAAGTAAAGTTCTAAACTTAAAACAGCTTTTAACAATAATATTACCTATGTTCGAAATTTCTAAAAAAAAATATGGTTTGTTCTAGGTCCTCATGGGTGATCCAATGGAAGAAAAGTCCCAAGAACGCGTCTTTGGCGGCTGCGAGGGCCCTGACGCCATGTACGTGAAACTCATCTCGTCTGACGGTCACGAATTCATTGTGAAACGTGAACACGCCTTGACGTCAGGGACTATAAAAGCCATGTTGAGTGGACCAGGGCAGTTTGCGGAGAATGAGGCTAATGAGGTGAACTTCAGGGAGATTCCGTAAGTAACCTAATTTCATATTATGATGAAATTTCATATTATGTTGGAAATAAAAGTTCACAGTCCAAAAGTGATTGTGCATTTGAGATTCTGCTATAACAATTATTATATAATAACAATAAGTTTTGTAACATTATCCAACTTGATTTCAGATCACACGTGTTGCAAAAAGTGTGCATGTACTTCACATACAAGGTGCGGTACACGAACAGCTCAACTGAAATTCCCGAGTTCCCCATCGCTCCTGAAATTGCTCTGGAATTACTGATGGCGGCTAACTTTTTGGACTGTTGAATCTCAGGAAACGAGCTAGAAATTAGGCAACGTATGACCATAGCCACAGCTTATTAAGTATGATATTCAAATCATTCCTAGTATGGTGTGGTTACTTTATACAAAAATGTCCAATTACTGAAAGCTTGTCTTTTTACTATTGTGCTAATCTTATCTGAAGCTTGTAATTTTAAAGTTTGTGGTTTTTTTAAAGGTTGAGTTTGTAAATGTAAATACACTTTTAGACTGAACTTAGGTTATCTGTAGGTTATTTTTGGAAGGTACTGAAAGAACTCATATTTTAGCCTAAATCTGTCCTTTATTCATTGTCAATAGTTTTTATTTTGAAAATATAGATTTGGTATAATTTTTTTTTTTGGCTTTTTAGAAACATTAGACAAATGAGAACAAAATTTGCATTGATTAAACGTTTGTTTTTATCAATATTTTTTTTTTATTTCATTTTATGGAAGCTAAGAATCCTTATCTGAGAGAGATAATAGAGTTTTTAACAACTGTAGAAATTGTAGAATGTGGAATTGGAAGTGGTATGGCATGTCTTTGTGACGTGTACTTTGGGAGGTTTGATGCGCAGGAAAAAGAGACAAAGAGACGGAAGAGTTAAAATATTGTAAAAAATAAATAAAGGTTTACAGTGGACTCTTAGCGACGCACCAGCAATGAATCGAACTGAACGTTTTTAAAGTTTAAAGACTGACAGGAAGAGGTACTGGTAGCAATAGCCCCAAAAAAGTTAACCATAAGAAAGATGAGAGAGGACAACTGCATAGTGAACGGATTTGGCGACAAGGACGTTAAGCTTTCCAGCAACGGTTCTTATGCAGAAACAGCCAGACGCGAGCTCCTCATATCAAGTGCTATGATGATATGAGATTGAAAATTGAGATCAGCATCAATCTGGACCAGCTCCGAAGTCATACCCTGATCATTGCAGCATTGCAGGCAAACACTCCCGAGGTTCCCAGATGTAGTAGGTAAGTCATTTATATAAAGGAGAAAAAGGATTGCTCCTAAGACTGATCCTTGAGGGACTCCATAGCTCATATGCTAGCTCAGAGGAGAATTTACAGTTCGCAGTGATATTCTGACTGAGTTTTACATGCAATAAAGGCAAGAAAAAATCTTCATAAAACATATGCAATCAGTGAAAAAAAAGAAGAGATTTTTTGGGAAGCGTTTCTAATAGTTTATTTCATAGAGGTTTATCTGAAATTGTGGAAAATTTTAATACCTTTTTCATTCAGAGTATTACTGATATTGTACAAACAATACCTCTAAGCCAAAGAATATTTATTACTGAAAATAGTGGTACTGTACATTTTCCCTAACTTATCTCACTTATTGACAAAGATATTCTTGAGGAAGTCATTTTTTTCTATGAGTAATAGTATGTTGAGTCCTGATGAATTCGATGTGTGTGGTTCTATAAAGAATTTTTTCATGAATTATCAAATATAGTTTCTAATTTTGTTAATAGTTCTTTATTGCATGGAAAGATACCTGATGCTCTAGGAGTTTCAACGATAGTGCCAATAAGAAAAGTGGCTAAAACTGTCAAGGCGCAGGAGTTTAGACCAATAAATATACTTTGTGCATTCGAACAAATATTAGAACAAACTGTTTACCTGCAGATTTTTGACTTTGTGACTAAGAATGGCTTGTGTGGCTTTCAGGTAAACTTTACTTTCAGTCAGGATTTAGAAAAGATCACAGCTGTGAAAGTGCAATTTAGTATATTATTAATGATTGGAAAGAATCAATGGTTAACAATGCAGTAACTGCTGATTTTTCTTAATCTCAAACGTGCTTTTGGAACAGTTGATAAAGATAAACAAGTTTTGAAATTGATGTCTTTGGGTTTTGATGGGGTTGTCATTAATTGGATTCGGGATTATTTAACTTGAAAAAGACAGAAAGTTGAATGCGGTGAATACACTTGAAGGCTAGTTTGACGAAAAATTTATTGTCTTACCTGTTTTGATCTAGTCACGGCAAATAAAGTTTTGCTTGGGATCAAAAATGCTTATTCTATCACTCCCACAGGTGTTTAGAACGGGTGTACCTATTTTGCTAATCAGCAAATTGCTGATAATGCAGTTTTTGGCTGGATAAGCAATTTAATCGAATGCGATCAGTTTGTAAAGTTGCGGTCAGTTAGTAGAAGTGATGTGAGCCATGCAAACAATTGCCGCCTCCGTCCGCATCCTTTGCCGCCCCCAGAATAAAAAATACGCCTGATGTATTGAATTTTTAATCCGATTTGATGCGGTCATTCAGAAAGGGTGCTGTCAACATCAAAAATGATATTTAGAAAATGACCGCCGCCGACCGCAGCTGTTGCCGCCCCTCAGAATCAAAAAAACGCCTGAAGTATTGCATTTTTAATCTGATTTGATGCGGTCAATTAGGATGGGTGCTGTCAACATCAAAAATGATATGTAGAAAATGACCGCCGCCAACCGCAGCCGTTGCCGCCCCCCAGATTCAAAAAAACGCCTGATGTTATTGAATTTTTAATCCGATTTGATGCGGTCACTCAGAAAGGGTGCTGTCAACATCAAAAATGATATTTAGAAGATGACCGCCCCCGACCGACGCCGTTGCCGCCCCCCAGAATTAAAAATACGCCTGATGTATTGAATTTTCAATCCGATTTGATGCGGTCACTTAGGATGGGTGCTGTCAACATCGAAAATCATATGTAGAAAATGACCGTCGCCGACCGCAGCCGTTGCCGCCCCCCAGAATCAAAAAAACGCCTGATGTATTGAATTTTTAATCCAATTTCATGCGGTCATTCAGAAAGGGTGCTGTCAACATCAAAAATGATATTTAGAAGATGACCGCCCCCAACCGACGCCGTTTCCGCCCCCCAGAATTAAAAATACGCCGGATGTATTGAACTTTCAATCCGATTTGATGCGGTCACTTAGGATGGGTGCTGTCAACATCGAAAATCATATGTAGAAAATGACCGCCGCCGTTTTCGCCCCCCAGAATTAAAAATACGCCTGATGTATTGAACTTTCAATCCGATTTGATGCGGTCACTTAGGATGGGTGCTGTCAACATCGAAAATCATATGTAGAAAATGACCGCCGCCGACCGCAGCCGTTGCCGCCCCCCAGAATAAAAAAAACGCCTGATGATGTATTGAATTTTTAATCCGATTTCATGCGGTCATTCAGAAAGGGTGCTGTCAACATCAAAAATCATATGTAGAAGTTGACCGCCCCCGACCGCAGTCGTTGCCGCCCTCAGAATCAAAATTACGCCTGAAGTATATCAAGCACATTTTTGATTCTGGGGGGGGGGGGGGGGCGCAACGGATGCGGTCGGGGGCGATCAATTCCCACATAAAATTTTTCATGTTCACAGTGTTATGTATGTTGTTTAGGAAGTATGAGGCATCAAACAAACATAGAAGGTTTATAACTTTAATAACAGATTAGAAAATACAGCTTAACACAAGGGGCTATGATTGACAACTTGCAATTTTATGACGACCCAATTGACACCACAAGTACTACTTGTCAGTTGACAAAGCTGTGCATAAAGGTTGGTTGCCACCTACAATAATTACAAAACTCACACGTATATCACACACAGCGCCCTTACTAAGAACCCGCATCAGATCGGATTGAAAGTTCAATACATCAGGCGTATTTTTATTTCTGGGAGGCGGCAACGGCGGCGGTCGGGGGCGGTCATCTTCTAAATATCATTTTTGATGTTGACAGCACCCTTTCTGAGTGACCGCATCAAATAGAATTGAAAATTCAATACATCAGGCGTTTTTTTGATTCTGGGGGGCGGCAACGGCTGCGGTCGGCGACGGTCATTTTCTACATATGATTTTCGATGTTGACAGCACCCATCCTAAGTGACCGCATCAAATCGGATTGAAAGTTCAATACATCAGGCGTATTTTTTATACTGGGGGCGGCAATTGTTTGCATGGCTCACATCACTTCTACTAACTGACCACAACTTTACAAACTGATGGCATTCGATTAAATTGCTTATCCAGCCAAAAACTGCATTATCAGCAATTTGCTGATCAGCAAAATAGATTTCCCCGTTTAGAACAACAAGCAAGAGGTGCTTTCCAGTGACCCATTTGAGTTACTCCTGAGCAGCTCAGGAGTGCTCCAAAATTGCTTTGCGCGTTCCAGTGCTTAGAGTGTCGTACACTTGAGCTACTCATTTCTGGTATCCCCTGCCCCCTCGAGCACCAACCCTTTTGCCTGTGTTTCATGCTCCTGAAATCCGAAATGGTAGGGGGTTAAGAGGAGAGCGTTCCAGTGCTGCTTATGTCGAACAGTTCAAGAGCGTCACACTTCAGGAGCATGATACTCTAACAATTCAGGCACTGGAAAGCGGCTAAGGTTGCCAAATGATGTTCCACTTGGACTGTCAGAGCAGTTCAACTGACATTTTTTGGCTATTTGAGCACAATTTGGACGCGGTTGGGTGGCTTTGTTATGAAGTAGGGAATTTTTAAAATAGATTCCTGGTTTCGTTTCTTTTCACCCAGAAGTTGCTATCCACCCCATTTTACGGTATGTTACCGAACCCAATGTCTTTCAGACGTCTGCCTAAAGCCATCTTCAGGACTAATACTTCATTATTATTACCTATATACTCATTTCATAACTTACAATTTGTCTATTCAAATGCTAGGCTCTCTTACATTAGGTCTGTTTCCACAGAAATCACAAACCAGTCAGAGCGTTTTTGATTGGTCTAAACAACCATGTTTCCTGACTATTTTCAACCAATAAAATTCGCTCTGACTAGTTTGTGATTTCTGTGGAAACAGACCTTTTATTTATTTTCTTTTAAACGAAAAAATACACAAAAATCATTTTGGAAGAAAATATAGGAGTGAAAATTAAAAAACAAATCAAGAGCCTGAAATTCTAAAATACGGGATTAATGAGAATTCAAGAACTCGGAATGAGAAAATTTAAGACCCAAAAATATGGAAAAATCATGAGCTTGGAATAGGAAAAATTATAAAAATTCAAGAATTTGAATTGGAAGAGAAAAATTTTTTCGCTAATACTTCCTTATCATTAGTTATTGCGCTATACAGGGTTATTTACGTAGGTTGTGCATTAGCTTACAGGTGTATATAAGATGTCAATGACATTTCATATATTATCCCAGTAACTAACCTTTTAGGTGGAACGGAACAAATTATGATAAAGCTGGGACCACCAAAATAGGGTAGTATTTGTTGACCTTATTAACATACTAAAAGACCCCGAAAGTCTGTTTGACCAAAAGCCATCAAAACTGGTCCGCCATCTTGAAAATCGGTGTTTTTTGTTTAAATCGTGCTATAACTCTAAAAGTACTTCAGATATCAAAAAATATGAACAGAGCAAAGTTCAAGAGTATAAAAAAACATGTGAAATAA